CGTTAGTTAGTTATTTCAGCAGTTCTTATCTTTGAGCTACCTACAAAAAAATAAGACACTTAAGAAATTCTTTTGATAATGTACCAAAGATTTCGTCGTTAGATTACGTTGTATAGTTAGCATATTCTCTGCTGTTTTCCTGCAATCAATTTTACTTTCTGATTAGATTGGAGTGCAGCGATATCTTTAAAATGTGTATAAAGCACGATTACAAGCCAAGTTAAACCGCTTACTTTTGGACATTGTAAGAAGTTGTTGAATAAACGGGAAGTATATAAGCTACAGATAGATAGATATTCCATTACTCAACTGTTAGGTGGCGACATGAAGCCCTTCATATCCTCAATGCTCAAATTATTTGGTACCAAATATTCCTCTAATCAAATACCATTAATTACTTCAACATTTCAATTAAGGAAAAAGAAATTCACTCTAGTTAGAACATTGAGTAAAATAATAGCTGGATGACCTAAATTGTTGCCCCGAATTAACAAATGGATATTGACTAATTACATGTTAAAAGGCTGGATCACATCGGGCTGTATTACAAACCCACGTTCCACCTTCATTATAGCTTGATTTAATTAGCTTCTTCGGGAGGCTGCTTTGTGAAGGCTGTACTCAACATATTAATGTAAAACCTAATACAGTCTCTGAGTTTTTCTTCAGCCTCTCAAGTTTAGACAATTCGATGTATCCTTGGCGTCAGAGCATACTTTTAATCTTTCATGAATGTTCGAGCCCTGTTTACGAGTTAGGCGGTTTTGGTGGACATGGTTGTTGACCCTCATTGGTCTATTCATATAAAGTCATTTTGTGAAAAGTAGCTATTCCATGATCAGAGGATGTTAAGAGTCAAGTCATGCCACTTCAATTGAGTTTCTAGAAGGGACACGCGTGGATCTTACTACAACTATTTAGAGTCTCAATTCTACACATGTTCCATACTTACAAAGACTTATCGTATTTTTTCCAGCATCCACCTCTTCATATGGTCGTTCTTGCCTTGGCACGAATGATCTCGCCCAATTTCTGAGTTCAGGACCCTCCAATTTTGCAGACTTTATGGCGGCAGCAGCAGCCGCAATTGCGACCATTTCAGTCGCCGCACCCTCGGCCTGCAGTACAGATGAGCAGGCGGTTTCTGCTGGTGCTAACCAGCCGGGTGTTCTACTCGACTTCAGCTCCAAATCGTCCAAACATGATGACGGAAACTGGGAAGCAACGCTCGAAGCATCAGCCGAGGCGGGTATAAATGGGGAAAAAGGAAAGGCAAGGGATGGCTCAAGTAAGACTAGTAAGAGGCCGAGCGGAGTGGAGGAATTGAGCGAAGCTTACGAGGCATGGAAACGGACGAGTGAAAAAGTAGGAGCAGACAGGAGGCAGGAAGAGAAGTATAAAATCGTAGAGGAGAGAAGAACTGACCCAAAAGCAACTTTAAATGAGGGTAGAACGAGTGAGGGCAATGGCTTAAATGGTCAAGATGAAGACTTGGATTGTGATTACTCGACGAATATGGAGGCTAAGCAAGACAACTTTGGAATGTCCAGTCAAAAAGCTGTTTGGGCAAGGACAGCCAACAGAGAAGAGTTGACGAGGGAGACGAAAGCATATGAATTGATATCCGGCTTCAGCACTTCTGAGCTGCTTGGCTTGAAGCCGGGCGTCGTGGATCCAGAAGCTGTTCAAAAAAGTCTTGACCTCTGCATCGAGGAGCCTGGGGAGCCGACTGGCCCAATCGGATTTGCTGCCAGCGCTGCTTCAATGCTGCTCTCGTTGATGTCCTCTTGGCCGGTTGTGCCGTCGTCAGCAGTTGACTCCGAGAATGGGAATAAGAGTGGTCCAGACGCTCACCGGCCTTCTCGACCACTCACAGGTACCTAAACATCAGCTCATTTCACACATGAGTAAACGATAAATAAAAGATATTGTCTAACAGTCTTTACTCAACTTCATCTTACTACCAGATCGACTTAGTTGGGCGCAACCTGTCCGAAGTTCTCTGCATTAGTGGGTATCATAATTCCCAGCGTCAGACCGTGAACTTGGTACATTCTCTTGTCAAAGAGACGAGGGAAGTCAATCCAATCACCAACTTTCTGCTATCTCTCCTCTTTCGGTCCTGGCCAATCTATCTACTCCCCACTATCTTATCACACTCAGGCCTTATCACAAATTCTGACTTGTTCATATGCCACTCCCCAAGAGGTGTGCGCTTTTGACAGAGTTTACTGTGACGTAATCACACTTGCTGTTCTTCTTGACACACACTGAGAGACGCATTCCTATATGTGGCTCCTAGGAAAAATCTGTCATCAAATCTTTTCATCACACAAAGCCATTCAAAATGTAGATCGGTTAAGAGATTAAAAGAAGGAGATGTAAAATTTTAGTTTATATAACATTTAACTTATTTTACCAATTTGGGATTCAAATTCATTTAAATCGTAATATACGTCGAAATCATTTTGTTTAATAAATAACAATGCAAGGAATACTTTCGTTAAAGGTTGGTCTTTCTACAGCCAAATCAATTGTATTCATTATGCTTGAAATTCTTGCGTTAATATGATAATTCAGCTTTATCCGAGTATTGCATTTTATGAATGCCTTTTTTGAGTCGAGATATCAAACTAACTGCATTAACAGCTCTGGAAAACTTACTATGGGCATGAAGAACAAGATCTATCTTCGCCTTTGCAACTTGTCAATTGTCATGAGAAATTCTAGTCTCAGACCGCGGATTTTGGTACATTCCTATAATTTCCGCCATCATCGTAATCGGCAGTGTCAACGAGAAACGTCATGCTTAGCACCGCGCTACAACTTGTCAACTTGTTTTCAACCCTTTGACCAACGTTCTGTTAAACAATTGCGGCATCTTATGTCCTTCTGGCTTGATACATTTGCAGACTTAAAGGGCTAAGTTGAAACAAAGATATATGATTTCACTTGACTGTATTCGATCTGACGATCGCACATCTGGGCTGGTTTGTAGTAAAGAAGTTAGATGTTGTGAGTAAGATGGAGTGAAATGAGAGGATAAGCGATGACAGATTACGATGCGGACGAGATGTCTTAGAATATGCTAAATCCATCGTGGATTCCCCATAAAAATGGGCCTGGCTGCAAAAACGAGGTCAAACCACTTCTTTTGAGGAAACTAAAATTCTAAGTGATGACTATGGTTTCATTACTCAAGTCATCTGTATGCTATTTAGTAAAAAGACGATTCATAAAACAACATTTTTTACTGCTAATTTTGACGTAGAAAAATTGACAATCGAGAAAATAGCTTCTCCTTTAGGTCGAGGTGCCAATATCATTAATGGACTAATGTCTCACCATATCGTCCAGATTCATAATTAGGCTAGGGGTTTAAGATATCAGAACAGACTCCATCAATTTAACTACCTTTCCATCAACTTGGCCATTATTATTCTTGGTTATCTATTCGTGTGCTCCAGTAGTGAATCTAAAAAAAGAGACCATTCTCTCCTGGCTTTCCTTCTCATTAGGTCTCTTAGTGTTCTTGTTTTTTGTTTGCATAGATAAAATGTGTATGTTCTACAACCTTATATGCGACTTTGTAAATACTGCACCCAG